TTTTTCTATTTTTTTTTATAACTATGTGACGAGGCCATACCCCTAGCCTTAAACAGCCGAACACCAACGCGTTACCGTCACAATATATATATATATATATATATATATATATATATATATATATATATATATATATATATATATATATATATATATATATATATATATATATATATATATATGTGCTGTGTTTTTGGTTTTTAGATTTTATAATATAAAAATGTGCACTTGCACACACAGGTGAAAATATAAAATATATAGTTAATTTTGGCTTGGTCGCCACAACCTTTTATGATGATTAATTGTGTTTACCAATTTGTCAACTACATGTGACCTAGACTCACCTGACAGGTGTACACCATCTCTTGCCAGGTTTTGCCTGTATGGTCTGGCCGTAAATTGAATGTAAGTGGCATCCAATCGTACTCTTTTTCCTCAGCCAAAAGTTTATATATTTGCAGCCCTTTGGTAATATTCTGGACTCACTCCCCAACGATTATTATTACTTAGTTGGTGAGGTTCCAGTAATGTGAACACTACTGAACTGCTAACAAGTTTAAATGAGGAAGTTATTGTTTTAAGGTGATTAATTACCTCAGCTGGGTGTCGAGTAGGATGGATGTCATTACCACCTAAATAAATAATGATTAGATGGTGAGGTCAATCTACCGCAGGTGTTAATGTGGAGTTATTATAGAAATTGTGAGCTGTTGCTCCTGGTGACCTGAAGATTCTTACCTCAGTGTGAGGTATAGGTCTGAGTGTTGTGGGTAACTTACTATGTCCCTCTAGTGCTACCTTATATATGAGGTATAGACAGCAAATAAATTGGTGTTAGGCTAACATATGTGGTACACTGCCGGTAGCCACAGATAACGAAATATGGTTAGTCTAGATTACTACACACGGTAATTAGTAATGGTTAATTAGGATAGCTTGATTCTCAGCTATCTATCAGATTCGAAGAGGACTAAATTTGTTTTGTTCTCTGAGAACTGATATAGAATTTAATATTAATTTAGGTGTATCCGGTTCGAAGAGACCAAATTTGTGTCGTGAAGGAAAGCTAACTCTCAATATATTGATATTTAATTGATTGACTTAAATTACTCAAAGGACCACCCTATTTTTACTGAAAAGGGAAACAGATAAATAAGCAATAGAAAAGGAGTGAAATGCCAGTGTCTGTGGATAATGTAACTATTAAGAATTATTCCTTGAATATTAATGAACTGTAGATTAAATTACTATTCAAGAAGTAATCTTTCCCAAATACACAAATGGGGGGTTAATACCAGAAGTAGAGTACTCCAAGTACACTTCATCGAGGCTGGTTCTTCCTCGAATAAAATTCAAATTCAAATTCAAATTTCAAATTCAAATGTTTATTCAGGTAAAGTACATACATACAAGGTGTGATACAAATATTGATGAATTTATAGATAGAACTAGTACATACAATGCCTAAAGCCACTATTACGCAAAGCTTCGGGCAGGAAAAACACTAAAGACTAAAACTTAATACTAATTAAGATTAAAGTATAAAATGTGTTGAGAAAACATAAAAATAAAAAATAGGGGGAACATGGCAGAAAAACAGCAAAATATACAATTTGGTCGACAAACAGCATTGTTTAAAAATAACAGACATGGGTTGACATTATAGGGTAAGGTAGGTTACAGGGAGTTAATTAGGTAGTGCTTAGTTTTTATCTTAAACTGGTTGAAAGAGGTACAGTCTTTAACATGATTAGGAAGGTCATTCCACATTCTGGGTCCCTTGATTTGTAGAGCATTTCTAGTTTGATTAAGTCGTACTCTTTGAATATCAAAAAGGTATTTGTTTCTGGTGTGGTGCTCATGGGTTCTGTTACAACCTTCAATGAAGCTTTTGAGGTCAGGATTGACATTACAGTTCAGCGTTTTATATATGTATAATACACATGAGAGAATGTGCAGTGACTTAATGTCTAACATATTCAGAGATTTGAGTAGGGGATATTGTAAACTCTTACTAAGATATAAATAAAATAGACATTTGATAATTTGGTTAGTAGCAAGAATATATTGGATAATGATTAAACGAGATATTGTTCTCATCTAAAATTCATGAGGCAATGAAATTATACTTGACTCCCTAAATCACGTAAATAAATTATAATCTCAAATTATTATTAGGTTTCAACCGTTCATTAGTAAATAGTAAGTAAATTAGAATAATTTCAGCTGCTTATCTGTAACAGTGAACGGAGGTGCAGTGTCGAGAGGGCGTCATCTGGGACTTGCTGGAACACGTGATCCATGAGCATAGTGTGGGAAATTGTTGCAGTCACGGCAGCTCCAACACACGCTGGAAACCCAATAGTGTAAAAATTGTCTACACATACTAGATTGTGTCATTACAGTTGAATGGAAGGGACAAATTTAATTCCTTGCGGACGTACTTGGCGTTAGGGGAGGTATTACGACGTAACGATGGACTAAGTGCACATTATTAATATAGAAAGCTCCTATAAAAATACTAGAACACTTAACCTACTGGTTGTCCACCGATGCAATCCTTGGATCGCTAATGGAGTAGTTGCACACTCCAAGGCCAATTAATAGCAAGGGCCTATTGTGTAATTGACGAAAACTTCGCCTCTCCCTGGACTAATGGCCGCCACGTTGTCTAAGCGTCGTCCAACCTCATGGCACCCTGGCGTCCGACTCCTCCTCCCTCAACTCCTCTCTCGCGCATGCGCAACATATTAGTAGAAACGGAAAATTCTTTTCCTTGTAATTACTCTACTTAATACGTCAATGAGAATAGGATCACAATTATAGGGAGTTAAATATTGTTTCCATTCTCGCTGAATAACAATAATTATGAACAGTGTTCTTATTGAACGAGAAATGGAGAGAAGTTCTGTTTCATCCATGATGGTTTAAGATAACAGATAAACTGCTATATAGTGATATTTTAGTGGATAACTCGTTCTTGTTGAATCACTAGTTATTATATTATCAGGTATTAATTCTTGTAAAGAATACTGATAAAGGTTGAGAATATTATTCAATTCTCTGAGAATATTATTCAATTCTCTGGCATGTCGACAATAATTATGTCTTGCTAGATCTTGAGGTTATCTTGAGATGATTTCGGGGCTTAGAGTCCCCGCGGCCTGGTCCTCGACCAGGCCTCCACCCCCAGGAAGCAGCCCGTGACAGCTGACTAACACCCAGGTACCTGTTTTACTGCTAGGTAACAGGGGCTTAGGGTGAAAGAAACTTTGCCCATCGTTTCTCGCCGGCGCCTGGGATCGAACCTGGGACCACAGGATCACAAGTCCAGTGTGCTGTCCGCTCAGCCGACCGGCTCCCTAATTATCATCAGATGCATGATGATAATTAGTGTAATTAGATGATAATTAGACCGGCTCCCTAATTATCATCAGATGCATGATGATAATTAGTGTAATTAGATGATAATTAGACCGGCTCCCTAATTATCATCAGATGCATGATGATAATTAGTGTAATTAGATGATAATTAGACCGGCTCCCTAATTATCATCAGATGCCTGATGCCTAATTGCATCAGATAATGGATATTATCTAATGCAATACTGCCCCTCGATGTGGGGAGAAGTTTTAGTAAATGACCCGCAGATAGGAAAATATTAATTTATATTAGTACTACCGTTAGTAGGGTTAATAGATAGTATGCTTAGTATACAATAGTGATGCATTATGATACAATAAGGAGGTATCAGTGTTGGAACTTTCCAACAGTCCCCATGTTGAGGGGGGACACGGGGCAGTCCCCATGTTGAGGGGGGACACGGGGCAGTCCCCAAGTTGAGGGGGGACACGGGGCAGTCCCCATGTTGAGGGGGGACACGGGGCAGTCCCCAAGTTGAGGGGGGACACGGGGCAGTCCCCATGTTGAGGGGGGACACGGGGCAGTCCCCATGTTGAGGGGGGACACGGGGCAGTCCCCAAGTTGAGGGGGGACACGGGGCAGTCCCCAAGTTGAGGGGGGACACGGGGCAGTCCCCATGTTGAGGGGGGACACGGGGCAGTCCCCAAGTTGAGGGGGGACACGGGGCAGTCCCCATGTTGAGGGGGGACACGGGGCAGTCCCCATGTTGAGGGGGGACACGGGGCAGTCCCCATGTTGAGGGGGACACGGGGCAGTCCCCATGTTGAGGGGGACACGGGGCAGTCCCCATGTTGAGGGGGGACACGGGGCAGTCCCCATGTTGAGGGGGACACGGGGCAGTCCCCATGTTGAGGGGGGACACGGGGCAGTCCCCATGTTGAGGGGGGACACGGGGCAGTCCCCATGTTGAGGGGGGACACGGGGCAGTCCCCATGTTGAGGGGGGACACGGGGCAGTCCCCATGTTGAGGGGGACACGGGGCAGTCCCCATGTTGAGGGGGGACACGGGGCAGTCCCCATGTTGAGGGGGACACGGGGCAGTCCCCATGTTGAGGGGGGACACGGGGCAGTCCCCATGTTGAGGGGGGACACGGGGCAGTCCCCATGTTGAGGGGGGACACGGGGCAGTCCCCATGTTGAGGGGGGACACGGGGCAGTCCCCATGTTGAGGGGGACACGGGGCAGTCCCCAAGTTGAGGGGGGCATGGGGCCGACTCCATGTTTAGGGTGGGGCACGGGGCTGTCACCATGATGAGGGGGCACGGGGACGTCCCCATGTTGAGGAGGCTTGGAGCCTCTCCTGACCCCGTCACACTCCCTATAAAATAACATTTATCCTATAAAGTATAGTGATGCTAGCCCCAAGCGTCTCTCCTCCAACCTCCCACACATCCACTCTATACTTCACATACATTCGAAGTATACCTTATATGTACATCATGTATACTGTCAGTATGTGCCTCGTATGTATTATGGTTTATACCTTCGTATAAATCTCTTGGTTTGTACTGTATGGTGTACCCTCATATGTACGCCTGTACCACACACACGCCCCAGTGTACCTGTCCTCCCCCAGGGTGCAGCAACGCCAGGATGGGTCGGGACTGTACCGTGGAGCTACCTGAGCCCCGGGGGAAGCAGGTGTGTCTCCCACACCCGCTGGGGTGTCACTGCGCCCCGGGCTACACCGGTGACACATGCACCACAGGTAAGGCAACACTCTCTCTTTCTCAAATAAATTCAATAAACATTACAATTTTATCATTATTATTGAGTTAGTATAAATGTTATCATAATTATCAGCGACAGTTGTAGCAGCAGCAACAGTCGTCATTGTAGACGCAGAAGTTATCGTCACTAAGTCTTACTGAACTTACTAGCAGTGTAAGTAATAGCCGTGAAAGCTATGGTAGTACTAGCAGTGTAAGTAATAGCTGTGAGAGCTATGGTAGTACTAGCAGTGTAAGTAATAGCTGTGAGAGGTATGGTAGTTCTAGCAGTGTAAGTAATAGCCGTGAGAGCTATGGTATTACCAGCAGTGTAAGTAATAGCTGTGAGAGCTATGGTAGTACTAGCAGTGTAAGTAATAGCTGTGAGAGCTATGGTAGTACCAGCAGTGTAAGTAATAGCTGTGAGAGCTATGGTAGTACTGATTACGCATATGTACACAAAGGAGTCAAGCGTATAAAATATTAAGCATAACCAAAACTATCCGTCTAAACTGTACACTGTTCCCTACAAGGCTCAAGTGAAGGGCATAACCTGATATAGGTCAGCTGGTTTGGTTAGGCTGGTTGGTTGTTTGTTTAACATGAACAAGGTGGCAGCAAGGGGTAGAAACATAACAACTAGAGTTTGAACAAACAAAAACTACCTCAAGGTGTCCTTCGTCGTCGGTCTTATAATGGTCTTATTTCCCGAGTAAGTCGTCTGATTGATGGTTAAATGTGTAAATGTTAAATGTTAGTGACATAGTATTAGACATGTTGTTCAGTTAGTAGCAGTAAACCATTCAGTTAGTAGCAGTAAACCACTAAGAGTAGCAGTAAACCAATAAGAGTAGCAGTAAACCACTAAGAGTAGCAGCAAACCACTAAGAGTAACAGTAAACCACTAAGAGTAGCAATAAACCACTAAGAGTAGCAGTAAACCACTAAGAGTAACAGTAAACCACTAAGAGTAGCAGTAAACCACTAAGAGTAGCAGTAAACCACTAAGAGTAGCAGTAAACCACTAAGAGTAACAGTAAACCACTAAGAGTAGCAGTAAACCACTAAGAGTAACAGTAAACCACTAAGAGTAGCAATAAACCACTAAGAGTAGCAGTAAACCACTAAGAGTAACAGTAAACCACTAAGAGTAGCAATAAACCACTAAGAGTAGCAGTAAACCACTAAGAGTAGCAGTAAACCACTAAGAGTAGCAGTAAACCACTAAGAGTAACAGTAAATCACTAAGAGTAGCAGTAAACCACTAAGAGTAACAGTAAACCACTAAGAGTAACAGTAAACCACTGAGAGTAGCAGTAAACCAATAAGAGTAGCAGTAAACCAATAAGAGTAGCAATAAACCACTAAGAGTAGCAGTAAACCAATAAGAGTAGCAATAAACCACTAAGAGTAGCAGTAAACCACTAAGAGTAACAGTAAACCACTAAGAGTAGCAGTAAACCACTAAGAGTAGCAGTAAACCAATAAGAGTAGCAGTAAACCACTAAGAGTAGCAGTAAACCACTAAGAGTTGCAGTAAACCACTAAGAGTTGCAGTAAACCACTAAGATTAGCAGTAAACCACTAAGATTAGCAGTAAACCACTAAGAGTAGCAGTAAACCACTAAGAGTAGCAGTAAACCACTAAGAGTAGCAGTAAACCACTAAGGGTAGCAGTAAACCAATAAGAGTTTCAGTAATCCACTAAGAGTGTCATTAAACCACTAAGAGTAGCAGTAAACCACTAAGAGTTGCATTAAACCACTAAGAGTAACAGTAAACCACTAAGAGTTGCATTAAACCAATAAGAGTAACAGTAAACCACTAAGAGTTGCATTAAACCACTAAGAGTAACAGTAAACCACTAAGAGTTGCATTAAACCAATAAGAGTAACAGTAAACCACTAAGGGTTGCATTAAACCACTAAGAGTAGCAGTAAACCACTAAGAGTTGCATTAAACCACTAAGAGTAGCAGTAAACCACTAAGAGTAGCAGTAAACCAATTTGAGTAGCAGTAAACCAATTTGAGTAGCAGTAAACCAATAAGAGTTGCAGTAAACCAATAAGAGTAACTGTAAACCACTAAGGGTTGCATTAAACCACTAAGAGTAGCAGTAAACCACTAAGGGTTGCATTAAACCAATAAGAGTAGCAGTAAACCAATAATAGTAGCAGTAATCCAATTTGAGTACAGTAAACCACTAAGACTAGCAGTAAACCACTAAGAGTTGCAGTAAACCAATAAGAGTAGCAGTAAACCACTAAGAGTAGCAGTAAACCAATTTGAGTGGCAGTAAGCCAATAAGAGTAGCAGTAAGCCAATAAGAGTAGCAGTAAACCAATTTGAGTAGCAGTAAACCAATAAGAGTAGCAGTAAACCAATAAGAGTAGCAGTAAACCAATAAGAGTAGCAGTAAGCCAATAAGAGTAGCAGTAAACCAATTTGAGTAGCAGTAAGCCAATAAGAGTAGCAGTAAACCAATTTGAGTAGCAGTAAACCAATTTGAGTAGCAGTAAACCAATAAGAGTTGCAGTAAACCAATAAGAGTAGCAGTAAGCCAATAAGAGTAGCAGTAAGCCAATAAGAGTAGCAGTAAACCAATAAGAGTAGCAGTAAACCAATAAGAGTAGCAGTAAACCAATAAGAGTAGCAGTAAGCCAATAAGAGTAGCAGTAAACCAATAAGAGTAGCAGTAAACCAATAATAGTAGCAGTAAACCAATAAGAGTAGCAGTCTCCGTGGTGTAGTGGTAAGACACTCGCCTGGCGTTCCGCGAGCGCTATGTCATGGGTTCGTATCCTGGCCGGGGAGGATTTACTGGGCGCAATTCCTTAACTGTAGCCTCTGTTTAACGCAACAGTAAAATGGGTACTTGGTTGTAACAACGATTCTTCGCGGCAGGAGATCGTATTCCAGGGACCGTAGGATTAAGGACCTGCCCGAAACGCTACGCGTACTAGTGGCTGTACAAGAATGTAACAACTCTTGTATATATCTCAAAAAAAAGAGTAGCAGTAAACCACTAAGAGTAACAGTAGCAGGGACAGCAGCTGTTATATAAACATTGTTGATGTATTAACATGTTTACCTGTGAGGAAGAGTGTGGAGGAGGCCGCTGGGGTGTGGAGTGTTCCCAGTCTTGCCGCCACCACTGTCAAGGTGACTGTCACCCCCACAACGGTCACTGTCACTCACCAGCACCAGCTGCCTGTGCCGGAGGTCAGTGTCACTCTTATGTGTTCGCTAGTGACTGTGTAGTGTGTGTGTGTGTGTGTGTGTGTGTGTGTGTGTGTTGTGTGTAGAGTGTGTGTGTGTGTGTGTGTTGTGTGTAGAGTGTGTGTGTGTGTGTGTGTGTGTGTGTGTGTGTGTGTGTGTGTGTGTGTGTGTGTGTGTGTGTGTGTGTGTGTGTGCGTGTGTGTGTGTGTGTGTGTGTGTGCGTGTGTGTGCGTGTGTGTGTGTGTGTGTGTGTGTGTGTGTGTGTGTACTCACCTAATTGTACTCACCTAATTGTGCTTGCGGGGGTTGAGCTTAGGCTCTTTGGTCCCGCCTCTCAACTGTCAATCAACTGGTGTACAGATTCGTGAGCCTATTGGGCTCTATCATATCTACATTTGAAACTGTGTATGGAGTCAGCCTCCACCTCATCACTTCCTAGTGCATTCCATTTACTAACTACTCTGACACTGAAAAATTCTTTCTAATGTCTCTGTGGCTCATTTGGGTACTCAGCTTCCAACTGTGTCCCCTTGTTCGCGTCCCTCCAGTGTTGAATAGTTCATCCTTGTTTACCCGGTCGATTCCCCTAAGGATTTTGTAGGTTGTGATCATGTCCCCCCTTACTCTTCTGTCTTCTAGTGTCGTAAGGTGCATTTCCCGCAGCCTGTCCTCATAACTCATGCCTCTTAGTTCTGGGAATAGTCTAGTAGCATACTTCTGGACTTTTTCCAGCTTCGTTTTGTGCTTGACAAGGTACGGGTTCCATGCTGGGGCCGCATACTCCAGGATTGGTCTTACATATGTGATGTACAAGATTCTGAATGATTCCTTACACAGGTTCCTGAACGCCGTTCTGATGTTAGCCAGCCTCGCATATGCCGCAGACGTTATTCTCTTTATGTGGGTTTCAGGAGACACGTTTGGTGTGATATCAACTCCTAGATCTTTCTCTCTGTCTGTTTCATTAAGTACTTCATCTCCTATTCTGTATCCTGTGTCTGGCCTCCTGTTTCCACTGCCTAGTTTCATTACTTTGCATTTACTCGGGTTGAACTTCAACAGCCATTTGTTGGAGCATTCACTCAGTCTATCTACGTCATCTTGTAGCCTCCTACTATCATCCTCTGTTTCAATCCTTCTCATAATTTTTGCATCGTCGGCAAACATTGAGAGGAACGAATCTATACCCCTCTGGGAGATCATTTACATATACCAGAAACAGTATAGGTCCAAGGACTGACCACTGCGGGACTCCACTTGTAACGTCTCGCCAATCTGAGACCTCACCCCTCACACAGACTCGTTGTCTCCTGTTATTTTAGGTACTCCTCTATCCACCGGAGTACCTTACCTTTCACTCCAGCCTGCAACTCCAACTTTCGCACTAGCCTCTTGTGTGGCACTGTATCAAAGGCTTTCTGACAATCCAAAAATATGCAGTCTGCCCACCCTTGTCTTTCTTGCCTTATTTTGTGTGTGTGTGTGTGTGTGTGTGTGTGTGTGTGTGTGTGTGTGTGTGTGTGTGTGTGTGTGTGTGTGTGTGTGTGTGTGTGTGTGTGTGTGTGTGTGTGTGTGTGTGTGTGTGTGTGTGTGTGTGTGTACTCACCTAGTTGTACTCATCTAGTTGTGTTTGCGGGGGTTGAGCTCTGGCTCTTTGGTCCCGCCTCTCAACCGTCAATCCACAGGTGTACAGATTCCTGAGCCTATTGGGCTCTATCATATCTACACTTGAAACTGTGTATGGAGTCAGCCTCCACCGCATCACCTCCTATTGCATTCCATTTGTCAACCACTCTGACACTAAAAAAGTTCTTTCTAATTTCTGTGGCTCATTTGGGCACTCAGTTTCCACCTGTGTCCCCTAGTGCGTGTGCCCCTTTTGTTAAATAGCCTGTCTTTATCTACCCTATCAATTCCCTTGAGAATCTTGAATGTGGTGATTATGTCCGCCCCTAACTCTTCTGTCTTCCAGTGAAGTGATGTTTAATTTCCGTAGCTCTCCTCGTTGCTCATACCCCTCAGCTCGGGTACTAGTCTGGCGGCAAACCTTTGAACCTTTTCCAGTTTAGTCTTATCCTTGACTAGATATGGACTCCTTGCTGGGGCTGCATACTCCAGGACTGGCCTGACATATGTGGTATACAAAGTTCTGAATGATTCTTTACACAAGTTTCTGAATGCCGTTCGTATGTTGGCCAGCCTGGCATATGCCGCTGATGTTATCCTCTTGATATGGGCTGCAGGAGACAGGTCTGGCGTGATATCAACTCCCAAGTTTTTCTCTTTCTCTGACTCCTGAAGAATTTCCTCTCCCAGATAATACCTTGTATTTGGCCTCCTGCTCCCTACACCTATCTTTATTACATTACATTTGGTTGGGTTAAACTCTAACAACCATTTGTTCGACCATTCCTTCAGTTTGTCTAGGTCTTCTTGAAGCCTCAAACAGTCCTCTTCTGTCTTAATCCTTCTCATAATTTTGGCATCGTCCGCAAACATTGAGAGAAATGAATCTATACCCTCCGGGAGATCATTTACATATATCAGAAACAAGATACGACCGAGTACAGAGCCCTGTGGGACTCCACTGGTGACGTCACACCAATTGTAGGTCTCACCCCTTACCGTAACTCTCTGCTTCCCATTGCTTAGGTACTCCCTTATCCACTGGAGCACCTTACCAGCTACACCTGCCTGTCTCTCCAGCTTATGTATCAGCCTCTTATGTGGTACTGTGTCAATGGCTTTCCGACAATCCAAGAAAATGCAGTCCGCCCAGCCCTCTCTTTCTTGCTTAATCTTTGTCGTAGAATTCGTAGGTCGTAGAATTCTATTAAGACCGTCAGGCAAGATTTACCGTCCCTGAACCCATGTTGGCGATTTGTCACGAAGTCCCTTCTCTCCAGATGTGCTACCAGTTTTTTTCTCACGATCTTCTCCATCACCTTGCATGGTATACAAGTCAAGGATACTGGCCTGTAGTTCAGTGCCTCTTGCCTGTCGCCCGTTTTGTATATTGGGACCACATTCGCCGTCTTCCATATTTCTGGTAGGTCTCCCGTCTCCAGTGACCTACTATACACTATGGAGAGTGGCAAGCAAAGTGCCTCTGCACACTCTTTCAGTACCCATGGCGAGATCCCGTCTGGACCAACAGCCTTTCTAACATCCAGATCCAGCAGGTGTCTCTTGACCTCCTCTCTCGTAATTTCAAACTCTTCCAAGGCCGCCTGGTTTATGTCCCTTTCTCCTAGCACAGTAACCTCACCTTGTTCTATTGTGAAGACCTCTTGGAACCTCTTGTTGAGTTCATCACACACCTCTTTGTCATTCTCTGTATACCTGTCCTCGCCTGTTCTAAGTTTCACTACCTGTTCTTTCACTGTTGTTTTCCTTCTGATGTGACTGTGGAGTAGCTTTGGTTCGGTCTTGGCTTTGTTTGCTATATCATTTTCATAATTTTTCTCTGCTTCTCTTCTCACCCTGACATACTCATTCCTGGTTCTCTGGTATCTCTCTCTGCTTTCTGGTGTTCTGTTATTCCGGAAGTTCCTCAATGCCCTTTTGTTCAGTTTCTTTGCTTCCATACATGCCCTATTATACCATGGATTCTTCTTTTGTTTCTCGGATTTTTCCTTTTGGGCCGGGATGTATCTGCTTACTGCCTCCTGACATTTTTGGGTGACATAGTCCATCATATCTTGTACAGACTTAGCTCTGAGGACTGTGTCCCAAGGTATTTCCCTTAGGAAGCTTCTCATCTCCTCATAATTTCCCTTTCGGTATGCCAGCCTTTTGTTTCCTAGTCCTTTTTCGGGGGGGATAATTCCGAGCTCTACCAGGTACTCAAAGTTCAATACACTGTGATCACTCATTCCTAAGGGTGCTCCCATCTTGACTTCCCTTATATCCCACTCATTTAGGGTAAATATCAGATCAAGCATTGCTGGTTCATCCTCTCCTCTCATTCTTGTTGGATCCCTGATGTGCTGGTTTAGAAAGTTTCTTGTTGCCACGTCCAGCAGCTTAGCTCTCCATGTTTCTGGTCCTCCATGCGGGTCTCTGTTCTCCCAATCTATCTTCTCTCATGATTAGTAGTCCAGATCCATTCCTGCTAGCAACAGAAGCTGCTCTCTCTATTATGTTAATGGTGGCCATATTGTTTCTATCATATTCCTGTCTGGGTCTTCTGTCATTTGGTGGTGGATTATATATGACTACGACTATAATTTTTTGCCCTCCAGTTGTTATTGTTCTTATTATGTAGTCACTGAAACCTTCACATCCCTGAACAACCAACTCCTCAAAATCCCAGCCTTTTCTTACCAGCAGAGCTACACCACCACCACCTCTTCCTTCTCTCTATTTCCTCATAACATAATAGTCCTGTGGGAACACTGCATTTGTTATTGTTTTCGTCAGCTTTGTTTCTGTAAGAGCTATTATGTCTGTGTTTTCCTCTAGTACCCATTCTCCAAGTTCATTTGCCTTATTTGTAATACCATCTATGTTAGTGTACATTGCTTTGAGGCTCACTTTCTTCTGTCCCTTCTCAAATCTCCTCCTTGGTTAATGTTCTGCTGGTGGAGGAAGCTGTGCCATGGGTGTGAGGATTTGTGAGGTGGATGCCAGGGTTACAGAGGATACTGGGATGAGGGGTCAAGTGAAGGGGGTAGGACAGGAAGGGTATGGGGTGAACAGGGCGGGAGGACAGGAAGGAAAAGGGGGTTTTCTATGCAGAGGAGGGTGGTGGAGTGGCACTCCCTGCTCGTGTTACTGGGTAGCTGGTTGTGGGTTCCCCCCTCGCCTCTGGGGGTGATGTGTTGGGAGCTGTGGTTTCCTGGTTTTCTCCTCTCGCCCTGCGCTTCTTCCTTGCTTCTGCCGCCATGGCCCTCTCCTCCCTCGTCATGTCCCTCTGGAGGAATACTTTTTTGAATTCTCCCACATGTTGCAGGGGGCTTTTCTTTGTTAGAATCGTGTCCTTTGTGTTCTCGTTTGAAAACACTATCTTTAACACACGGTCTCGGTCTTTTTTGTACCAGCCTAACCTGAAAACCTTCTCAATGCTCAGCCACTTCCAAGTCTAGTGCCTTCAGTATTTCATTCACTGCTGCTTTGTCCTTATCATTCCACTCTTTCCTATTACAGCCTTCCTGCTCTTTAATACCTACAGCTACCACTGGTCTTTTCCTTTCCAGCAGCTGGGTAGTGGAGCGTGCCGCTTCCTGTGAGGTGGCTGCTTTCATGGCTACCTCCATCACTGCAGACATTACTTCAGAGTTTTTTTTTTAGCATTTCTGCAAATGTTGCTTTTAATGTGGCATTCTCTTCCAAAGTACTATTACCACCACCTCCCTGGGTGGTTATCTGAGTCTCAGCATCGATACTGTTCTCTTTGAGGGCTCTAATCTCCTCCTTTGCTGCTGTCAGCTCTCTTTTTAGGTTGCTTATTTCATTCTTCATTTCCTGCATCTCACTCTTGATGTCCTCCAGAAACTGGGGGATCATTTCCTTCATTTCGTCGCCTGAACTTTTCCCTGTTCCCCTGTTGCTTCTGGCTGTCATGCTTGACCCTGTTCCTAGTTGTGCAGTAATAGGATTCGTCAGAAGGGCAGAGCGGGGTGGGGGAGAGAGAGATAGAGAGGAAGAGAGAGAGAGAGAGAGAAAAAGAGAGAGATAGAGAGGAAGAGAGAGAGAGAGAGAGAGAGAGAGAGAGAGAGAGAGAGAGAGAGAGAGAGAGAGAGAGAGAGAGAGAGAGAGAGAGAGAGAGAGAGATAGAGAGAGGAAAGGAGGGAGAGAGATAAAGAGAAAGATATAAGAGAGAGAGAGAGAGAGATATAGAGAGAGAGAGAGAGAGAGAGAGAGAGAGAGAGAGAGAGAGAGAAGAGAGAGAGAGAGAGAGAGAGAGAGAGAGGGGAGAGAGAGAGGAGAGAGAGAGGGGGAGAGAGAGAGAGGAGAGAGAGAGAGAGGAGAGAGAGAGAGAGAGAGAGAGAGAGAGAGAGAGAGAGAGAGAGAGAGAGGAGAGAGAGAGAGAGAGAGAGAGAGAGAGAGAGAGAGAGGAGAGAGAGAGAGAGAGAGAGAGAGGGAGAGAGAGAGAGAGAGAGAGAGGAGAGAGAGAGGGAGAGAGAGAGAGGGGGAGGGGGGGATAGAGAGAGAGAGAGTAGAGGAGAAGAGAGAGAGAGAGAGAGAGAGAAGAGAGAGAGTAATGAGAGGAGAGAGAAAGAGAGAGGGAGACACACGCACATGTGTGCGTGTGCATGTGTGCGCGCGCGTGCGTCTGCATGTACTCGCCTAGTTATACTCACCTAGTTGTGCTTGCAGGAGTTGAGCTCTGCCTCTTTGTTCCCGTCAGTAAAATTGATGTACAGGTTCCTGAGCTTACTGGGCTTTATCATATTTACATTTGAAACTGTGTATGGAGTCAGCCTCCACCACATCACTGCCTAATGCATTCCATCTGTTTACTACTCTGACACTGAAAAAGTTCCTTCTAACGTTCCTGTGGCTCATTGGGTACTCAGTCTCCACCTGTGTCCCCTTGTTCGCGAACCACCCGTGTTAAACACTTTATCCATATCTACTCCTGTCAATTCCTCTGAGAATTTTGTAAGTAGTGATCATGTCTCCCCTTACTCGTCTGTCTTCCAGTGTCGTGAGGTGCATTTCACGCAGCCTTTCCTCGTAACTCATGCCTCTTAGTTCTGGGACTAGCCCTGTGGCATACCTCTGAACTTTTTCCAGCTTCGTCCTGTGCTTGACAAGGTACGGGCTCCACAGCTCCTGTACTCACCTATTTGTGCTTGCGAGGGTTGAGCTTTGGCTCTTTGGTCCCGCCTCTCAACTGTCAATCAACTGGTGTACAGATTCCTGAGCCTACTGGGCTCTATCATATCTACATTTGAAACTGTGTATGGAGTCAGCCTCCACCACATTACTTCCTAATGCATTCCATTTGTCAAACACTCTGACACTAAAAAAGTTCTTTCTAATATCTCTGTGGCTCATTTGGGCACTCAGTTTCCACCTGTGTCACTTAGTGCGTGTGACCCTTGTGTTAAATAGCCTGTCTTTATCAATCCTGTCGATTCCCTTGAGAATCTTGAATGTGGTGATCATGTCCCCCCTAACTCTTCTGTCTTCCAACGAAGTGAGGTTCAATCCCCGTAGTCTCTCCTCGTTGCTCATACCTCTCAGCTCGGGTACTAGTCTGGTGGCAAACCTTTGAACCTTTTCCAGTTTAGTCTTATGCTTGACTAGATATGAACTCCTTGCTGGAGCCGCATACTCCAGGATTGGTCTGACATATGTGGTATATAATGTTCTGAACCTTCCTTTCACAAGTTTCTAAATGCCGTTCTTATGTTAGCCAACCTGGCATATGCTGCTGATGTTATCCTCTTGATATGAGCTTCAGGGGACAGGTCTGGCGTGATATCAACCCCCAGGTCTTTCTCTCTGACTCTTGAAGTATTTCATCTCCCAAGTGATACCTTGTATCTGGTCTCCTGCTTCCTACCCCTATCTTCATTATATTATATTTGCTTGGGTTAAACTCTAACAGCCATTTGTTCGACCATTCCTGCAGCTTGTCCAGGTCTTCTTGAAGTCTCAAACTGCTTCCTCTGTCTTAATCCTTCTCATAATTTTGGCGTCGTCAGCAAACATTGAGAGGAATGAGTCTATACCCTCTGGGAGATCATTTACATATATCAGAAACAGGATAGGTCCAAGCACAGAGCCCTATGGGACTCCACTGGTTACTTCCCGCCATTCTGAGGTCTCACCCCTCTCTATAACTCTCTGTTTCCTATTGCTTAGGTACTCCCTTATCCACTGGAGCGCCCTATCAGTTACTCCTGCCTGTTTCTCCAGTTTATGCATCAACCTTTTATGGGGTACTGTGTCAAAGGCTTTCCGACAGTCCAAAAAAATGCAGTCCGCCCATCCTTCTCTTTCTTGCTTAATCTTTGACACCTGATCGTAGAATTCTATCAAGCCTGTAAGGCAAGATTTACCCTCCCTGAACCCATGTTGATGGGTTGTCACGAAGTCTCTTCTCTCCAGATGTGTTACTAGGTTTTTTCTCACAACCTTCTCCATCACCTTGCATGGTATACAAGTTGAGGACACTGGCCTGTAGTTCAGTGCCTCTTGTCTGTCACCCTTTTTAAATATTGGTACTACATTACCAGCCTTCTATATTTCTGGTAGGTCTCCCGTTTCCAGTGACCTACTATACACTATGGAGAGTGGCAAGCAAAGTGCTCCTGCACACTCTTTCAATACCCATGGTGAGATTCCATCCGGACCAGCAGCTTTTCTCACATCCAGCTCCAATAGGTGCCCTCTTGACCTCATCTCTTGTAATTTCGAACCTTTCCAAGGTCACCTGGTTTGCTGCCACCTCTCCTAGTGCCATGACGTATCCCTGTTATATTGTAAAGACCTCCTGGAACCTTTTGTTGAGTTCTTCACACACCTCTTTGTCATTCTCTGTGTACCTATCCTCGCCCACCCTAAGTTTCATCACCTGTTCCTTCACTGTTGTCTTCCTCCTGATATGACTGTGTAGTAGCTTTGGTTCGGTCTTGGCTTTATTAGCTATATTATTTTCATACCTTTTCTCAGCTGCTCTTCTCACACTAACATACTCGTTCCTGGTTCTCTGGTATCTCTCTCTACTTTCTGGTGTTCTGTTATTACGGAAGTTCCTCTATGCCCTTTTGTTCAGCTCCTTTGCTTTCATACATTCCCTATTAAACCACGGATTCTTCCTTTGCTTCTCTGTTTTTTCCTGTTGGGGGTTGGACAAACCTGCTTACAGCCTCCTGACATTTTTGGGTGACATAGTCCATCATGTCTTGTACGGATTTGGTTCCGAGTTCGGTGTCCCAATGTATATTCCCTAGGAATTTATTCGTCTCCTCATAGTTTCCCTTTCGGTACGTCAGCCCTTTGTTTCCCAGTTCTTTTTTTGGGGGTGATAATTCCTAGCTCAACCAGGTACTCAAAGCTCAATGCACTATGATCACTCATTCCCAAGGGGGCTTCCAACTTAACTTTCCTTATATCCGACTCTTTAGGGTAAATATCAGATCAAGCAAGGCTGGTTCATCGCCTCCTCTCGTTCTTGTTGGTCCCTTGACGTGTTGACATGAAAAATTTCTTGTTGCCACATCCAGCAGCTTAGCTTTCCATGTGTCTGGGCCTCCATGTGGGTCTCTGTTCCTCCCAATCTATCTTTCCATGGTTGAAGTCTCCCATGATTAGGAGCCTGGATCCATTCCTGCTAGCCACAGAAACTGCTCTCTCTATTATATTGATGGTGGCCAAGTTGTTTCTATCATATTCCTGTCTGGGTCTTCTGTCATTCGGTGGAGGGTTATATATGACTACTATTATAATTTTCTGTTTTCCAGTTGCTATGGTGCCTGATATGTAGTCACTGAATCCTTCACAGTTCTGAATTACCATCTCTTTGAAACTCCATCCTTCTCTTAGTAGCAAAGCTACACCACCTCCTCCTCTCCCTTCTCTCTCTTTCCTCACTACATAGTAGCCCTGTGGAAACACTGCGTTTGTTATGGTGTTTGTTAGCCTTGTTTTTGTGAGTGCTATTATGTCTGGGTTTTCTTCTAGTGCCCATTCTCCGAGTTCACTTGTTTTATTTGTAATCCCATCTATGTTAGTGTACATTGCCTTAAAGCTCACTTTCTTCAGTTCATTTTCTTGTCCCTTTCTTGGCGAGCATTCTGTTGGTGTGGGAAGCTTTTCCGTGGGTGAGAAGATCTGTGAGGTGGTTTGCAGGGTCTCAGAGGAGTTTGGGGTGATGGGTGGGGGTTTCAGGGAAGGGGGGACAGGTAGGGTGTGGGTTAAGGAGATAGGGGGGACATGGAGGATACGGGGTGAGGGGTGGGGAAGGATAGGGAGGGTATGGGATGAAGGGGGAGGGGGGACATGATGGGAATGGGGAAGGGGTGACAGGGTAAGAATGGGGTGGGGGGAGGGAGAGTTGGGTGGGGGCAGGTAGGGTGAGGGGAAGGGAGGGTTTCCATGCAGAGGGGGGTGGTGGTGTTGCCCTCCCCTCTGGTGTTGCTGGGATGCTGGTTTTGGGTTCGCCTCTTGTCTCTAGGACTGTTGTGTTGGGGCTGTGATTACCTGGTTTGCTCCTCTCTCCCTGCGTTTCCTCCTTGCCTCTGCTGCCCTGGCTCTCTCCTCCTTCGTCCTGTCCCTCTGCAGGAATACTTTCTTGTATCCCTCCACATGCTGCAGTCGACTCTTCCTTTCGAGAATATCCTCCTTCGTGGTTTCGTTTGTAAACACCACCTTTACAAGTCGGTTTTTGTCCTTGTTGTACCAGCCTAACCTGAAAACCTTCTCAGTGTTTCGTTCAGCCCCTTCCATCTGTAACCCCTTCAGTACCCCCTGTACTGCCTCCCTATCCTTGCTATTCCATTCTTGCCTGTTGGATCCTTCCTGTTCGTTGATGCCTACAACTACCACTGATCTTTTTCTCTCCAGCAGCTGAGTGGTGCACCTTGCTGCTTCCTGTGAGGTGGCTGCTTGCATGGCTACCTCCCTCACTGTGTCCATAGCTTCTGAGCTCTTTTTCAGTATGTCTGCAAATGTTTCAGGTACAGAGGCATTTCCTTCGAATGTAACATTCCCACCTTCCCTTTGGATGATAATCTGATGCTCGGTCTCTTTATTTTTCTCTGTGAGGGATTTGATCTCCTCCCTTGCTGATGTCAGCTCACTTTGCAGGTTGTTAATTGTAATCCTCATTTCCTGCATCTCCTTCCTGAATTCCTCCAGAACTTGGGTTAACATGTCCTTCGTTTGGTCACTCTGGCTATTCCCTGTGTCCCTGTGTGTGCATGTGTGTGCGTGTGCATGAGTGCGTGCGTGTGTGTACATATGAGTGTGCATGAGTGCGTGCGTGTGTGTACATATGAGTGTGCATGCGTGTGTGTTGTGAGGGGGATGTTTGAGAAAAGTGAAGTGTTTACAACAGGTGTTTATTGTTTACATCAGGTGTGTAGTGAGACAGGTGTGGTGGTCACAACAGATGTGTAGTGAGACAGTTGTAGTGGTCACAACAGGTGTGTAGTGAGACAGCTGTAGTGGTCACAACAGATGTGTAGTGAGACAGTTGTAGTGGTCACAACAGGTGTGTAGTGAGACAGTTGTAGTGGTCACAACAGGTGTGTAGTGGGACAGTTGTAGTGGTCACAACAGGTGTGTAGTGAGACAGCTGTAGTGGTCACAACATATGTGTAGTGAGACAGTTGTAGTGGTCACAACAGATGTGTAGTGAGACAGTTGTAGAGGTCACAACACATTTGTAGTGAGACAGCTGAAGTGGTCACAACAGGTGTGTAGTGAGACAGCTGTAGTGGTCACATCAGGTGTGTAGTGAGACAGTTGTAGTGGTCACAACAGGTGTGTAGTGAGACAGCTGTAGTGGTCACAACAGATGTGTAGTGAGACAGATGTAGTCACAACAGGTGTGTAGTGAGACAGGTGTTGTGTGGTCAACAGGTGATCTTGGGCTGCCACGACTCCGTCGGCCGCCACAAGTGACCAACGTGTCGGGGACCACGGCGAGGGTCACCTTTGATGGCTGGGACCCGGGTTATGACGACGGACACAAGGACGCGGACCATGTTATCTCTTATATACTACGGTGGTGGGTATGTTGTACTCATCTGGTTGTGTTACCCAGTATTATAGTTTAGGGCTGATAGTGGGGTTCATATATTATTTTATACTTTTACGATGAATATAGTGATTATAATATTAATTGATGACTGTGTGCACGAGAGAGAGAGAGAGAGAGAGAGAGAGAGAGAGAGAGAGAGAGAGAGAGAGAGAGAGAGAGAGAGAGAGAGAGAGAGAGAGAGAGAGAGAGAGAGAGAGAGAGAGAGAGAGAGAGAGAGAGGGAGAGAGAGAATAAAATACGATAATTATCAGCAGTAGGAGTGGGTACCAGGGTCTGGTGGACCCTAGGTAAGGACTGGAATATTTCTGCCCCTAAATCAATCAGTTACAATACTGCTCCTAAACCGCTGCATGAACCTTAACAATCAATAATCCGACAAAAGCTCACCTCTTGGCAGACTGTTTTGTTGTCAACATATATGGCAGCGATGACCATACAGTATGACAAGAGGAAGTACAACTCTTTCTTATATCATTCAACACAGAGAAGACAGTGAGAGCCGGATAAGGTCAGCCCGAGGCTGACACTCACTTTTACACCAAGATCACAGCACAAGGCCCTCACTATGGAAGGTTCTACACCAAGATCACAGCACAAGGCCCTCACTATGGAAGGTTCTACACCAAGATCACAGCACAAGGCCCTCACTATGGAAGGTTCTACACCAAGATCACAGCACAAGGCTCTCACTATGGAAGGTTCTACACCAAGATCACAGCACAAGGCCCTCACTATGGAAGGTTCTACACCAAGATCACAGCACAAGGACCTCACTATGGAAGGTTCTACACCAAGATCACAGCACAAGGCCCTCACTATGGAAGGTTCTACACCAAGATCACAGCACAAGGACCTCACTATGGAAGGTTCTACACCAAGATCACAGCACAAGGTCCTCACTATGGAAGGTTCTACACCAAGATCACAGCACAAGGCTCTCACTATGGAAGGTTCTACACCAAGATCACAGCACAAGGCTCTCACTATGGAAGGTTCTACACCAAGATCACAGCACAAGGACCTCACTATGGAAGGTTCTACACCAAGATCACAGCACAAGGACCTCACTATGGAAGGTTCTACACCAAGATCACAGCACAAGGCTCTCACTATGGAAGGTTCTACACCAAGATCACAGCACAAGGCCCTCACTATGGAAGGTTCTACACCAAGATCACAGCACAAGGACCTCACTATGGAAGGTTCTACACCAAGATCACAGCACAAGGCCCTCACTATGGAAGGTTCTACACCAAGATCACAGCACAAGGACCTCACTATGGAAGGTTCTACACCAAGATCACAGCACAAGGTCCTCACTATGGAAGGTTCTACACCAAGATCACAGCACAAGGACCTCACTATGGAAGGAGGAAAAAGTTATTTCAGGCCACAAAAGGAAGAGCCAGTCAGTGATCAGCAACTAGAAGCCACAGTCCCGACTGTGACAAATATCCCCCAACAATGACAACACATTGTGACCATCGTACCTCGTGTGGGCGACAATCTGGCTTTAGTACGGATCGTGCTGCTGTTGATCTCTTCTTGCACCTCTCGACATGACGGGTCCAAGATCAGCTGTGTTGTTGATGACAACATTAACTGGTGTGACACCAGGTGTGGCATCAGGTGTCTAACACCAGATATGGCAACAGGTGTCAGAAACTTAGTGTGGCTCCAGGGGCTACAGACCAAGCTTCATTCATTATATCTGTTTCCAGGTTCATGATTTAAATGACATGATGAAGAGCTTTTATTCGACAATAATGACACTGGAGAGCAGCTCGCAGGTGTCCTAGGGTAGTAAGCAGGTGTCCTAGAGCAGCAAGCAGGTGTCCTAGGGTAGTAAGCAGGTGTCCTAGAGCAGCAAGCAGGTGTCCTAGAGCAGGAAGCAGGTGTCCTTGAGCAGCAAGCAGGTGTCATAGAGCAGCAAACAGGTGTCCTAGAGCAGCAAGCAGATGTCCTACAGCAGCAAGCTGATGTCCTAGAGAAGAAAGCTGGTGCCCTAGAGCAGCGAGCAGGTGTCCTAGAGCAACAAGCAGGTGTCCTAGAGCAGCGAGCAGGTGTCCAAGAGCAGAAAGCTGATGTCCTACAGCAGCAAGCAGGTGTCCTTGAGCAGCAAGCAGGTGTCCAAGATCAGTGAGCAGGTGTCCTAGAGCAGCAAGCAGATGTCCTAGAGCAGCAACCTGATGTGCTAGAGAAGCAAGCTGGTGTCCTAGAGCAGCAAGCTGGTGTCCTAGAGCAGCAAGCTGGTGTCCTAGAGCAGCAAGCAGGTGTCCTAGAGCAACAAGCTGGTATCTTAGAGCAGCAAGCAGGTGTCCTAGAGCAGCAAGCTGGTATCCTAGAGCAGCAAGCTGGTGTCCTAGAGCAGCAAGCAGGTGTCCTAGAGCAGCAACCTGATGTCCTAGAGCAGCAAGATTGTGTCCTAGAGAAGCAAGCAGTTATCTTAGAGCAGAAAGCAGGTGTGTAAGAGCAGCAAGCTGGTGTCCTAGAGCAGAAAGCTGGTGTCCTACAACAGCAAGCAGGTGTTCTAGAGCAGCAAGATGGTGCCCTAGAGCAGCAAGAAGGTCTCCTAGATCAGCAAGCAGGTGTCCTAGAGCAGAAAGTAGGTGCGTTAGAGCAGCATACTGGTGTCCTAGAGCAGCAAGCAGGTGTCCTAGAGCAGAAAGCTGGTGTCCTAGAGCAGCAAGCAGGTGTCCTAGAGCAGCAAGCAGGTGCCCTAGAGCAGCAAGAAGGTCTCCTAGATCAGCAAGCAGGTGTCCTAGAGCAGAAAACTGGTGTCTTGGAGCAGCAAGAAGGTGTCCTAGAGCAGCAAGCAGGTGTCCTAGAGCGGCAAGTAGGTGTCCTAGAGCAGCTAGATGGTGTCCTAGTGCTGCAAACAGGTGTCCTAGAGCAGCAAGAAGGAGTCCTAGACCAGCATGCAAGTGTCCTAGAGCAGCAAGCAAGTGCCCTAGATCAGCACTCTGGTGTTCTAGAACAGCTAGCAGGTGTCCTAGAGCAGCAAGATAGTGTCCTAGAGAAGCGAGGAGGTGTCCTAGAACAGCAAGCTGGTATCCTAGAGCAGGAAGCAGGTTTCTAAAAGCAACAAGCTAGTGTCCTAGAGCAGCAAGCAGGTGTCCAAGATCAGCTAACAGGTGTCCTAGAGCAGCAAGCAGATGTCCTAGAGCAGCAACCTGATGTGCTAGAGCAGCAAGCTGGTGTCCTAGAACAGCAAGCCGGTGACCTAGAGCAGCAAGCTGGTGTCCTAGAGCAGAAAGCAAATGTCCTAGAGCAACAAGCTGGTATCTTAGAGCATAGAGCAGGTGTCATAGAGCAGCAAGCTGGTATCCTAGAGCTGCAAGCTGGTGTCCTAGAGCAGCAAGCAGGTATCCTAGAGCAGCAAGCTGGTATCCTAGAGCAGCAAGCTGGTGTCCTAGAGCAGAAAGCAGGTGTCCTAGAGCAGCAAGCTGGTGTCCTAGAGCAGAAACCAGGTGCCCTAGGGTAGCAAGCTGGTGTCCTAGAGCAGCAAGGTGGTGTCCTAGAGCAGAAAGCAGGTGTCCTAGAGCAGCAAGCTGGTGTCCTAGAGCAGAAACCAGGTGCCCTAGGGTAGCAAGCTGGTGTCCTAGAGCAGCAAGGTGGTGTCCTACAGCAGCAAGCAGGTGTCCTATTGCAGCAAGAAAGTTTCCTAGAGCAGCAAGCAGGTGCCCTAGAGCAACAAGCTGGTGTCCTAGAGCAGCAAGCATGTGTTCTAGAGCAGAAAGCTGGTGTCCTAGAGCAGCAAGATGGTGTCCTAGAGCAGAAACCTGATGTCCTAGAGCAGCAAGATTGTGTCCTAGAGAAGAAAGCAGTTTTCTTAGAGCAGAAAGCAAGTGATAGAGCAGCAAAAAGGTGTCCTAGAGCAGCAAGCAGGTGCCCTAGAGCAGCAAGCAGGTGCCCTAGAGCAGCAAGCAGGTGCCCTATAGCAGCAAGATGATTTCCTTTGAGCAGCCACCTGATGTCCTACAGCAGCAAGCAGGTGTCGTAGAGCAGAAAGCTGGTGTCCTAGAGCAGAAAGCTGGTGTTCTAGAGCAGCAAGCAGGTGTCCTAGAGCCGCAAGCAGGTGCCTTAGAGCAGCAAGCAGGTGCCCTAGAGCAGGAAGATCTCCTAGAATAGCAAGCAGGTGTCCTAGAGCAGAAAGCAGGTGTCCTAGAGCTTAAAGCAGGTGTCCTAGAGCAGCAAGCAGGAGTTCTGGAGCAGCAAGAAGGTGTCCTAAAGCAGCAAGCTGGTGTCCTAGAGCAGAAAGAGGGTGTCCTAGAGCAGCAAGCAGGTGTCATATAGCAGCAAGCTGGTGTCCTAGAGCAGCAAGCTGGTGTCCTAGAGCAGCAAGCAGGTGTCCTAGAGCAGCAAGCAGGTGTCCTAGAGCAGAAAGCAGGTGTCATAGAGCAGCAAGCTGGTGTCCTAGAACAGAAAGAGGGTGTCCTAGAGCAGCAAGCTGGTGTTCTAGAGCAAAAGCAGGTGTTCAAAGGGAGCAAGCTGCTGTCCTAGAGCAGCAAGCAGGTGTCCTAGAGCAGCAAGCTGGTGTCCTAGAGCAGCAACCTGATGTCCTAGAACAGCAAGCTGGTGTCTTTGAGCAGCAAGAAGGTGTCCTAGAGCGGCAAGCAGGTGTCTTAGAGCAGCAAGAAGGTGTCCTAGAGCAGCAAACAGGTGTCCTAGAGCAGCATGCAAGTGTCTTAGAGAAGCAAGCTGGTGTCCCAGAGCAACAAGCAGGTGTCCTAGAGCGGAAATCAGGTGTCCTAAAGCAGTAGGAAGGTGTCTAAGAGCAGCACTCTAGTGTCCTAGAGCAGCAAGCAGGTGCCTTAGAGCAGAATGCTGGTGTCTTAGAGCAGCAAGAAGATGTCCTAGAGCAGCAAACTGGTGTCCCAGAGCAGCAATACGGTGTCATGGAGCAGGGAAGCAGGTGTCCTAGAGCAGCAAGATGGTGTCCTAGAGCAGAAAGTTTGTGTCCTACAGCAGCAAGGTTTTCTAGAGCAGAAAGGAGTCCTTGCGCAGGAAGCAGGTGTCCTACAGCAGCAAGCAGGTGTCCTAAAGCAGCAGGAAGGTGTCCTAAAGCGGCAAGCAGATTTCCTAAAACAGCAAGAAGGTGCCCTAGAGAGGCAAGCAGGTGTCCTAGAGCAGCAAGAAGGTGTCCTAGAGTAGCAAACAGGTGTTCTAGAGCAGCAAGAACGTATCCTAGAGCAGAAAGCTGATGTCCTAGAGCAGCAAGCTGGTGTCCCAAGGTAACAAGCAGGTGTCCCTAGAGTGGCAAGCAGGTGTCCTAGAGCAGCAAGAAGGTGTCCTAGAGCAGCAAGCTGGTGTCCTAGAGCAGAAAGCTGATGTCCTAGAGCAGCCAGAAGGTGTCCTATAGCAACAAGCAGATGTCGTAAAGCAGAAAGCAGGTTTCCGAGAGCAGCAAGCAGGTGTCCTAGAGCAGCAAGAAAGTGTCCTAGACCATCATGCAAGTGTCCTAGAGCATCAAGCAGGTGTCATAGTGTAGCAAGAAGTTGTCCTAGGTCGGAAAGCAGGTGTCCTAAAGCAGCAATAAGATGTCCTAAAGAAGTACTCTGGTGTCCTAGAGCAGCAAGCAAGTGTCCTAGATCAGCACTCTGGTGTTCTAGAACAGCAAGCAGGTGTCCTAGAGCAGCAACCTGATGTGCAAGAGCAGCAAGCTGGTGTCCTAGAACAGCAAGCAGGTATCCTAGAGCAACAAACTGGTATCTTAGAGCAGAAAGCAGGTGTCCTAGAGCAGCAAGCTGGTGTCCTAGAGCAGAAATCAGGTTTCCTAGGGCAGCAAGCTGGTGTCCTAGAGCAGCAAGCTGATGTCCTAGAGCAGAAATCAGGTTTCCTAGAGCAGCAAGCTGGTGTCCTAGAGCAGCAAGCTGGTGTCCTAGAGCAGAAAGCTGGTGTCCTACAGCAGCAAGCCGGTGTTCTATAGCAGCAAGAAGGTGTCCTACAGCAGCAAGCAGGTGTCCTACAGCAGCAAGCTGGTGTCCTAGAGCAGCAAGATGGTGTCCTTGAGCAGCAAGCAGTTGTCTTAGAGCAGGAAGCAGGTGTATTAGAGCAGCATGCTGGTGTCCTAGAGCAGAACGCTGGTGTCCTACAGCAGCAAGCAGGTGCCGTAGAGCAGCATGCAGGTGTCTTAGAGCAGAAAGCAGGTGTGTTAGAGCAGCAAGCTGGTGTCCTAGAGCAGAAAGTTGGTGTCCTAGAGCAGAAAGCTGGTGTCCTAGAGCAGCAAGCAGGTGTCCTAAAGCAGCAAGCAGGTGCTCTAGAGCAGCAAGAAGGTCTCCTAGATCAGCAAGCTGGTGTCCTATAGCACCAAGAAGGTGTCCAAGAGCAGCAAGCAGGTGTCCTAGAGCAGCCACCTGATGCCCTAGAGCAGCAAGCTGGTGTCCTAGAGCAGCATGCAGGTGTCTTAGAGCAGAAAGCAGGTGTGTTAGAGCAGCAAGCTGGTGTCCTAGAGCAGTAAGCTGGTGTCCTAGAGTAGAAAGCTGGTGTCCTAGAGCAGCAAGCAGGTGTTCTAGAACAGCAAGCAGGTGCTCTAGAGCAGCAAGCAGGTGCTCTAGAGCAGCAAGCTGGTGTCCTAGAGTAGAAAGCTGGTGTCCTAGCGCAGAAAGCAGGTGTCCTAGAACATCAAGCAGGTGTCTTAGAGCAGCAAAAAGATGTCCTAGAGCAGCAAGCAGGTGTCCTAGAGCAGCAAGAAGGTGTCCTTGAGTGGCAAGCAGGTGTCCTAGAGCAGCAAGAAGGTGTCCTAGAGCAGCAAACAGGTGTCCTAGAGCAGCAAGAACGTATCCTAGAGCAGCATGCAGGTGTCCTAGAGCAACAAGCTGGTGTCCTAAAGCAACAAGCAGGTGTCCTAGAGCAGCAAGCAGTTGTCCTAGAGCAGCAAAAATGTGTTCTAGAGCAGCAAGCAGGTGTCCTAGAGCAGAAAGCTGATGTCCTAGAGCAGCCAGAAGGTGTCCTAGAGACACAAGCAGATGTAAAGTAGAAAGCAGGTGTCCAAGAGCAGCAAGCAGGTGTCCTAGAGCAGCAAGAATGTGTCCTAGATCGGCACTCTTGTGTTCTAGAGCAGCAAGCAGGTGTCCAAAAGCAGCAACCTGGTGTCTTAGAGCAGCAAGCTGGTGTCCAAGATCAGCGAGCAGGTGTCCTAGAGCAGCAAGCAGGTGTCCTAGAGCAGCTCGCAGGTATCCTAGAGCAGCAAGCTGGTGTCCTAGAGCAGCTCGCAGGTGTCCTAGAGCAGCAAAGTGGTGTCCTTGAGCAGCAAGCTGGTGTCCTAGAGCAGCACGCAGGTGTCCTAGAGCAGCAACCTGATGTCTTAGAGCAGCAAACTGGTGTCCTAGAGCAGCAAGCTGGTGTCCTAGAGCAGCAAGTTGGTGTCCTAGAGGAGCAAGCTGGTGTTCTAGAGCAGCAAGCAGGTGTCCTTGAGCAGCAAGCTGGTGTCCTAGAGCAGAAAGCAGGTGTCCTAGAGCAGAAAGCAGGTGTCCTAGAGCAGCAAGCTGTTGTCCTAGAGCAGAAAGCTGATGTCCTAGAGCAGCCAGAAGGTGTCCTAGAGACACAAGCAGATGTAAAGCAGAAAGCAGGTGTCCAAGAGCAGCAAGCAGGTGTCCTAGAGCAGGTGTCCTATAGCAGCAAGCTGGTGTCCTAGAGCAGAAACCAGGTGCCCAAGAGCAGAAACTGGTGTCCTACAGCAGCAAGCAGGTGTCCTATAGCAGCAAGAAGGTGTCCTAGAGCAGCAAGCATGTGTTCTAGAGCATCAAGCTGGCGTCCTAGAGCAGCAAGAAGGTGTCCTAGAGCAGCAAACAGGTGTCCTTGAGCAGCAAGAACGTATCCTAGAGCAGCATGCAGGTGTCCTAGAGCAACAAGCTGGTGTCCCAAAGCAACAAGCAGGTGTCCTAGAGCGGCAAGCAGGTGTCCTAGAGCAGCAAGAAGGTGTCCTAGAGCAGCAAGCAGGTGTCCTAGAGTGGCAAGGTGTCCTAGAGCAGCATGCAGGTGTCTTAGAGCAGCAGGCTGGTGTCCCAAAGGAACAAGCAGGTGTCATCGAGCAGCAAGAAGGTGTCCTAGAGAAGCACTCTGGTGTCCTAGAGCAGGAAGCAGGTGTCCTAAAGCAGCAAGAAGGTGTCCTAGAGAAGCACTCTGGTGTCCTAGAGCAGGAAGCAGGTGTCCTAGAGCAGAAAGCAGGTGTCCTAGATCGGCACTCTGGTGTTCTTGAGCAGCAAGCAGGTGTCCTAGAGCAGAAAGCTGATGTCCTAGAGCAGCCAGAAGGTGTCCTAGAGACACAAGCAGATGTAAAGAAGAAAGCAGGTGTCCTAGAGCAGAAAGCTGATGTCCTAGAGCAGCCAGAAGGTGTCCTAGGGACACAAGCAGATGTAAAGAAGAAAGCAGGTGTCCAAGAGCAGCAAGCAGGTGTCCTAGAGCAGCCAGAAGGTGTCCTAGATCAGCACTCTGGTGTTCTAGAGCAGCAAGCAGGTGTCCAAAAGCAGCAACCTGGTGTCTTAAAGCAGCAAGCTGGTGTCCAAGATCAGCTAGCAGGTGTCCTAGAGCAGCAAGCAGGTGTCCTAAAGCAGCTCGCAGGTATCCTAGAGCAGCAAGCTGGTGTCCTAGAGCAGCTCGCAGGTGTCCTAGAGCAGCAAACTGGTATCCTAGAGCAGCAAGCTGCTGTCCTAGAGCAGCACGCAGGTGTCCTAGAGCAGCAACCTGATGTCCTAGAGCAGCAAACTGGTGTCCTAGAGCAGCAAGCTGGTGTCCTAGAGCAGCAAACTGGTGTCCTAGAGCAGCAAGCTGGTGTTCTAGAGCAGCAAGCAGGTGTCCTTGAGCAGCAAGCTGGTGTCCTAGAGCAGAAAGCAGGTGTCCTAGAGCAGAAAGCAGGTGTCCTAGAGCAGCAAGCTGGTGTCCTAGAGAAGAAAGCTGATGTCCTAGAGCAGCCAGAAGGTGTCCTAGAGACACAAGCAGATGTAAAGCAGAAAGCAGGTGTCCAAGAGCAGCAAGCAGGTGTCTTAGAGCAGGTGTCCTACAGCAGCAAGCAGGTGTCCTATAGCAGCAAGAAGGTGTTCTAGAGCATCAAGTTGGTGTCCTACAGCAGCAACCTGATGTCCTAGAGCAGCAAGCATGTGTCCTAGAGCAGCAAGCATGTGTCCTAGAGCAGCAAGCATGTGTCCTAGAGCAGCAAGCAGGTGTCCTAGAACAGCAAGGTAGTGCCCAAGAGCAGGAAGAAGTTCTCCTAGAGCACCAAGCAAGTGTCCTAGAGCAGCAACAAGGTTTTCTGGAGCAGCAAGGTGTCCTTGCGTTGGAAGCAGGTGTCCTGGAGTAGCAAGCAGGTGTCCTAGAGCAGCAAGAAGGTGTCCTAGAGCAGCAAGAAGGTGTCCTAGAGCAGCAAGCAGGTGTCCTAGAGTAGCAAGGTGTCCTAGAGCAGCATGCAGGTGTCTTAGAGCAGCAGGCTGGTGTCCCAAAGGAACAAGCAGGTGTCATCGAGCAGCAAGAAGGTGTCCTAGAGAAGCACTCTGGTGTCCTAGAGCAGGAAGCAGGTGTCCTAAAGCAGCAAGAAGGTGTCCTAGAGAAGCACTCTGGTGTCCTAGAGCAGGAAGCAGGTGTCCTAGATCAGCACTCTGGTGTTCTTGAGCAGCAAGCAGGTGTCCTAGAGAAGAAAGCTGATGTCCTAGAGCAGCCAGAAGGTGTCCTAGAGACACAAGCAGATGTAAAGCAGAAAGCAGGTGTCCAAGAGCAGCAAGCAGGTGTCTTAGAGCAGGTGTCCTACAGCAGCAAGCAGGTGTCCTATAGCAGCAAGAAGGTGTTCTAGAGCATCAAGCTGGTGTCCTATAGCAGCAACCTGATGTCCTAGAGCAGCAAGCATGTGTCCTAGAGCAGCAAGCAGGTGTCCTAGAACAGCAAGCTAGTGCCCTAGAGCAGGAAGAAGTTCTCCTAGAGCACCAAGCAAGTGTCCTAGAGCAGCAACAAGGTTTTCTGGAGCAGCAAGGTGTCCTTGCGTTGGAAGCAGGTGTCCTGGAGTAGCAAGCAGGTGTCCTAGAGCAGCAAGAAGGTGTCCTAGAGTGGCAAACAGATTTACTAAAGCAGCAAGAAGGTATCCTAGAGCGGCAAGCAGGTGTCCTAGAGCAGCAAGAAGGTGTCCTAGAGCAGCAAACAGGTGTCCTTGAGCATCAAGAACGTATCCTAGAGCAGCATGCAGGTGTCCTAGAGCAACAAGCTGGTGTCCCAAAGCAACAAGCAGGTGTCCTAGAGCGGCAAGCAGGTGTCCTAGAGCAGCAAGCAGGTGTCCTAGAGCAGCAAGCTGGTGTCCTAGAGCAGCAAGCAGGTGTCCTACAGCAACAAGCAGGTGTACTAGAGCAGCAAGCTGGTGTCATAGAGCAGCAAGCTGGTGTCCTAGAGCAGCGAGCTGGTGTCCTAGAGCCGCACTCTCGTGTTCTAGAGCTGCAAGCAGGTGTCCAGAAGAAGCAAGCTGGTATCCTAGAGCGGCAAGCAGTTGTCCTAGAGCAGCAAGCTGGTATCCAAGAGCAGAAAGCTGGTGTCCTAGAGCAGCTAGCTGGTGTCCTAGAACAGGAAGCTGGTGTTCTAGTGCAGAAAGCAGGTGTCCTAGAGCAGCATTCTGGTGTCCTAGAGCAGCAAGCTGGTGTCCTAGAGCAGAAAGCTGGTGTCCTACAGCAGCAAGCCGGTGTCCTATAGCAGCAAGAAGATGTCCTACAGCAGCAAGCAGGTGTCCTAGAGCAGCAACCTGATGTCCTAGAGCAGCAAAATTGTGTCCTAGAGCAGCAAGCAGTTGTCTTAGAGCAGAAAGCAGGTGTATTAGAGCAGCAAGAAGGTGTCCTAGAGCAGCAATCAGGTGTCCTAGAGCAGCCACCTGATGCCCTAGAGAAGCAAGCTGGTGTCCTGGAGCAGCATGCAGGTGTCTTAAAGCAGAAAGCAGGTGTGTTAGAGCAGCAAGCAGGTGTCCTAGAGCAGCAAGCAGGTGCGCTAGAGCAGCAAGAAGGTCTCCTAGATCAGCAAGTAGGTGTCCTAGAGCTAAAAGCTGGTGTCCTAGAGCAGCAAGCAGGAGTTCTGGAGCAGCATGAAGGTGTTCTAGAGCAACAAGCAGGTGTCCTAGCGCAGAAAGCAGGTGTCCTAGTACATCAAGCTGGTGTCCTAGAGCAGCAAGAAGATGTCCTAGAGCAGCAAGCTGGTGTCCCAGAGCAGCAAGAAGGTGTCCTAAAGCAAGCAAGCAGGTGTCCTAGAGCAGCAAGATGGTGTCCTAGAGCTGCAAGCAGGTGTCCAAGAACAGCAAGAGGATTTTCTGGAGCAGCAAGGTGTCCCTGCGCAGGAAGTAGGTGTTCTAGAGTAGCAAGCAGGTGTCTTAGAGCAGCAAGAAGGTGTCCTAGAGTGGCAAGCAGATTTCCTAAAGAAGCAAGAAGGTATCCTAGAACGGCAAGCAGGTGTCCTAGAGCAGCAAGAATCTGTCCTAGAGCAGCAAACAGGTGTCCTAGAGCAGCAAGAACGTATCCTAGAGCAGCATGCAGGTGTCCTAGAGCAACAAGCTGGTGTCCCAAAGCAACAAGCAGGTGTCCTAGAGCGGCCAGCAGTTGTTCTAGAGCAGCAAAAAGGTGTCTTAGAGCAGCAACCAAGTGTCCTAGAGCAAAAAGCTGATGTCCTAGAGCAGCCAGAAGGTGTCCTAGAGCAACAAGCAGATATAAAGCAGGAAGAAGGTGTCCTAGAGCTGCAAGCAGGTGTCCTATAGCAGCTCGCAGGTATCCTAGAGCAGCAAGCTGGTGTCCTAGAGCAGCTCGCAGGTGTCCTAGAGCAGCAAACTGGTGTCCTAGAGCAGCAAGATAGTGTCCTAGAGCAGCAAGCAGGTGTCCTAGAGCAGCAACCTGGTGTCCTAGAGCAGCAAGCTGGTGTCCTAGAGCAGCAAGCTGGTGTCCTAGAGCAGCAAGCTGGTGTTCTAGAGCAGCAAGCAGGTGTCCTAGAGTAACAAGCTGGTGTCCTAGAGCAGAAAGCAGGTGTCCTAGAGCAGAAAGCAGGTGTCCTAGAGCAGCAAGCTGGTGTCCTAGAGCAGAAAGCATGTGTCCTAGAGCAGCAAGCTGGTGTCCTAGAGCAGAAAGCAGGTGCCCTAGAGCAGAAACTTGTGTCCTACAGCAGCACGCAGGTGTCCTATAGCAGCAAGAAGGTGTCCTAGAGTAGCAAGCAGGTTTCCATGAGCAGCAAGCTGGTGTCCTAGAGCAGCAAGCATGTGTTCTAGAGCAGCAAGCTTGTGTCCTAGGGCAGCAACCTGATGTCCTAGAGCAGCAAGATGGTGTCCTAGAGCTGCAAGCAGTTGTCTTAGAGCAGAAAGCAGGTGTGTTAGAGCAGCAAGCTGGTTTCCTGGAGCAGAATGCTGGTGTCCTAGAGCAGCAAGCATGTTTCCTAGAGCAGCAAGCTAGTGCCCTAGAGCAGGAAGAAGGTCTCCTAGAGCACCAAGCAGGTGTCCTAGAGCAGCAAGCAGGTGTCCTAGAGCAGCAAGAAGGTGTCCTAGATCAGCAAAATGGTGTCCTAGAGCAGCAAGCAGGTGTCCTAGAGCAGCAAGAAGGTTTTCTGGAGCAGGAAGGTGTCCTTGCGCAGGAAGCAGGTGTCCTAGAGTAGCAAGCAGGTGTCCTAGAGCAGGAAGAAGGTGTCCTTGAGTGGCAAGCAGATTTCCTAAAGCAGGAAGAAGGTATCCTAGAGCGGCAAGCAGGTGTCCTAGAGCAGCAAGAAGATGTCCTAGAGCAGCAAACAGGTGTAATAGAGCAGCAAGAACGTATCCTAGAGCAGCATGCAGGTGTCCTAGAGCAACAAGCTGGTGTCCCAAAGCAACAAGCAGGTGTCCTAGAGCGGCAAGCAGTTGTCCTAGAGCAGCAAGAAGGTGTCCTAGAGCAGCAAGCAGGTGTCCTAGAGAGGGAAGCTGATGTTCTGGAGCAGCCAGGTGTCCTAGATCAACAAACTGGTGTCCTAGAGCACCAAGCTGGTGTCCTAGAGCAGCAAGCAGTTGTCCTAGAGCAGCAACCTGATGTCCTAGAGCCGCAAGCTGGTGTCGTAGAGCAGCAAGCTGGTGTCCTAGAGCAGAGAGCTGGTGTCCTAGAGCAGCAAGCAGGAGTTCTAATGCAGCAAGCAGGTGTCTTAGAGCAGCAAGCTGGTGTCCTAGAGCAGAAAGCAGGAGTCCTAGAGGAGAAAGCAGGTGTCCTAGAGCAGCAAGCTGTTGTCCTAGAGCAGAAAATAGATGTCGTAGAGCAGCAAAGCTGGTGTCCTAGAGCAAATAGAAGGTGCCCTAGAGCAGAAAATGTTGTCCTACTGCAGCAAGCAGGTGTCTTATAGCAGCAAGAAGGTGTCCTAGAGCAGCAAGCAGGTGTCCTAGAGCAGCAAGCTGGTGTCCTAGAGCAGCAACCTGATGTCCTAGAGCAGCAAGATGGTGTCCTAAAGCAGCAAGCAGTTGTCTTAGAGCAGAAAGCAGGTGTGTTAGAGCAGCAAGCTGGTTTCTTGGAGCAGAATGCTGGTGTCCTAGAGCAGCAAGCATGTGTCCTAGAGCAGCATGCTAGTGCCCTAGAGCAGGAAGAAGGTCTCCTAGAGCACCAAGCAGGTGCCCTAGAGCAGCAAGCAGGTGTCCTAGAGCAGCAAGAACGTGCCCTAGAGCAGCAAACAGGTGTCCTAGAGCAGCAAACAGGTGTCCCTAGAGCAGCAAGAACGTATCCTAGAGCAGCATACAGGTGTCCTAAAGTAACAAGCTTGTGTCCTAGAGCAGCAAGAAGGTGTCCTAGAGCAGCAAGCAGGTGTCCTAGAGCAGAAAGCTGATGTTCTAGAGCAGCCAGAAGGTGTCCTAGAGCAACAAGCAGATGTAAAGCAAAGATCAGGTGTCCAAGAGCAGCAAGCAGGTGTCCTAAAGCAGCAAGAAGGTGTCCTAGAGCAGCAAGAAGGTGTCCTAGAGCAGCAAGCAGGTGTCCTAGATCAGCACTCTGTTGTTCTAGAGCAGCAAGCTGGTGTCCTATAGCAGCAAGCAGGTGTCGTAGAGCAGCAAGCAGGTGTCCTAGAGCAGCTCGCAGGTGTCCTAGAGCAGCAAATTGGTGTCCTAGAGCAGCTAGCAGGTGTCCTAGAGCAGCAACCTGATGTCCTAGAGCAGCAAGCAGGTGTCCTAGAACAGCAAGCTGGTGTCCTCGAGCAGAAAGCAGGTGTCCTGGAGCAGATGGCAGGTGTCCTAGAGCAGCAAGCTGGTGTTCTAGAGCAGCAAGCTGGTGTTCTAGTGCAGCAAGCAGGTGTCCTAGAGCAGCAAGCTGGTGTCCTATAGCAGAAAGCAGGTGTCCTAGAGCAGAAGGCAGGTGTCCTAGAGCAGCAAGCTGGTGTCTTTGAGCAGAAAGCAGGTGCACTAGAGCAGAAACTGGTGTCCTACAGCAGCAAGCAGTTGTCCTATAGCAGCAAGAAGGTGTCCTAGAGCAACAAGCGAGTGTCCTAGTGCAGCAAGCTGGTGTCCACCAGCAGCAAGATGGTGTCCTAGTGCAGCAAGCATGTGTTCTAGAGCAGCAAGCTTGTGTCCTAGAGCAGCAACCTGATGTCCTAGAGAAGCAAGATGGTGTCCTAGAGCAGCAAGCAGTTGTCTTAGAGCAGAAAGCAGGTGTGTTAGAGCAGCAAGCTGGTTTCTTGGAGCAGAATGCTGGTGTCCTAGAGCAGCAAGCATGTGTCCTAGAGCAGCATGCTAGTGCCCTAGAGCAGGAAGAAGGTCTCCTAGAGCAGCAAGCAGGTGTCCTAGAGCAGCAAGCAGGTGTCCTAGAGCTGAAAGCTGGTGTCCTAGAGCAGCAAGCAGGTGTTCTGGAGCAGCAAGGTGTCCTAGAGCAACAAGCAGGTGTTCTAGAGCAGCAAACAGGTGTCCTAGAGCAGAAAGCTGGTGTTCTAGAGCAGCAATCAGGTGTTAAAGAGCAGCAAGCTGGTGTCCTAGAGGAGCAAGAAGGTGTCCTAGAGCAGCAAGCTGGTCCTAGAGCAGCAAGCAGGTGTCCTCGAGGAGCAACCAGGTGCCCTTACCATTGCCACTCCTCTAACTAGAGCAGCATGCAGGAGTCCAAAAGCAGCCAGCAGGTGACCAGCTAAACCAGGGTTCAGGTGACCTAGAGTAATAAGCAGAGGGCGTGACTGGTGTTGACACAGTTGCCTCATGTTAAGCTCATCTCATCCCTCACTCCGGTAAACTTACTGGTGTGTCAGAGCTGCCTCAGTGGTGGCCTCTAGCTCCTCACCTTCACCATGGTTACTGGTGTGTCAGAGCTGCCTCAGTGGGGGCCTCTAGCTCCTCACCTTCACCATGGTTACTGGTGTGTCAGAGCTGCCTCAGTGGTGGCCTCTAGCTCCTCACCTTCACCATGGTTACTGGTGTGTCAGAGCTGCCTCAGTGGGAGCCTCTAGCTCCTCACCTTCACCCTCGTTACTGGCGTGTCAGAGCTGCCTCAGTGGGAGCCTCCAGCTCCTCACCTTCACCATGGCTTTGAATTCTAAATTAATTTCACAGATTACGGACCATGGGGCAGGGAGTACATTCTCGCAGACCGCAACACCTAGCCAACCTAACACTGTGAGCGGCCTGCAACCGGCGACCGGATACAGCATGCAGGTGTTGTTGCAGGTGTCTAGGAGCGACAGGGGACAGGTGTGTGTGGCAGACGGTGCGGGACGGGAGAGAGTACACACTGTCAGTTTCAACACTTCCTGTCCCGACAGTAAGTACCGGAGTTCACAGCGTCTTCCTGGTTGTTTAGTTGCTACGTTGATGGTACTGATAGATATTGGTAGATGGATCATCCATCTACTAGTACAGATAGGTACTAGAAGATGATCACAGAGTACAGTACAGGTAGATATTAGTAGACGGGTCACAATATTATGATGATAGCGTCTAACATCCACTACCAATATTATCAAGGTGTTGCCTTCACTCTCACTGTTTCAGTTCCAGAAGCACCATCCTGGATCAACGTCTCTGAGGTGACCAACAACAGCTTCTTAGTGACCTGGCAGGTGAGTGAGTGAGAAACACGCTGTATTTCAAAAGCAATTTATAATATATTAGGCATCTTTTCTCCAAGACTGAAATCTGGAAGATATCGTAGTATCTTCTACTTCCACGCGTTTTCATATCTTATTTTCAGTTCGAAAAAGACATAAATTAGCATGGTAAGTTGTCTTGATGTCTGAGCCGAGATAACGGATGCTAGTCCATGGTTAATCTATGGGTAAAGGATAAGAAGAATAATGAAGTATAAAAAAGTATAAGTCTGGTAGCGATCTCTACCGGAAAGGTGAGGCTTGTGGTGACCTGCAGAACATGGAATGTTATCAGTCCAAGCAAAGTGTGGCCACATGCCTGACTCAGGGAGTGTTAGTGTACCCTCCTTGCTCCAGACCTAACATCAACCCCACAAGTCTCCAGCTGACGGCCGTCAACCTCTAACAGCATAAGCTGGTAATGACCAAACCACACATCAGAAAATAGAGAAACGAGGACGTTTCGGTCCGCCTTGGACAATTATCAAGTCGTGTAATGCCACGTTGTTGTGACTCATCGTCGGCATACGCTGGTCTCTCCGGGAAACTCCAGCAAAGATATAACGGTTCAATACTGCGAGGCGAGGCTCTAGAGCTAGGTCTACGCTCTCCGTACACACATTAGATATGCACTACTAGGTAAGCACCGAAGTAACTAAAAGAGTCATGATCTCTTTGGGAGACTTCCTAACAAATAGGAAACACAATAGCAGTAAGACAGGAAAACCGGAATGATGGAAGAATATTAGCAAAGTCCCACAAGGGTGAGTGCCGGAACCCAAGATATAAACAGAGTCCCACAAGGGTGAGTACTGGAACCTATGATATTAGCAGAGTCCCACAAGGGTGAGTACTGGAACCCATATTATTAACAGAGTCCCACAAGGGTGAGTGCTGGAGCCCATGATATTAGCTGAGTCCCACAAGCGTTGGTGCTGGAGCCCATGATATTAGCTGAGTCCCACAAGGGTGAGTGCTGGAACCCATGATATTAGCTGAGTCCCACAAGGGTGAGTGCTGGAACCCATGATATTAGCTGAGTCCCACAAGGGTGAGTGCTGGAACCTATGATATTAGCTGAGTCCCACAAGGGTGAGTGCTGGAGCCCATGATATTAGCTGAGTCCCACAAGGGTGAGTGCTGGAACCAATGATATTAGTGGATCGAACAAACCATTGCGAGAGATTAGGACCTAGTGGTAAACAGAACACAGTACCTCTCACCGGAGACACACAAGCAGAATCACATCAGCAGCATATGCTATGCTAAGCCGGCGATCGTGAGGTTAGTCTTGAGAAAACTAAACATGAATGCTTTCAGGACTCCATATACAGCATACATCCGACCAGAGCACGAGTATGCAGTGCCACTACGGAACCCTCACCTTTAAACACACAAAAAGTTTGAGAAAGTAAACATGTTCGTTACAGGACTGCTCCCTGAAGTGAGGCGACTGAAATAGAGACTGAAGGAGCTGACCTTAATGACACGTGAAGAAAGGGGAAATATTGGGGATGTGTTTCAGTTATAAAGTTCTCAGAGTTATTGATTAAACAGTGTTATAATGTTCAGGTTGAACAGTAAGGTAACGAGAGGTCATGCATGGAAGCTGGGCACTGGGATGAACCTCAGGGATGTCAGGAATCACCTGTGTATGACCAGGAAGCTTAAGGAACAAACACGAGGAGGAAATAGTGGAGGCTTATCTCTAAACAGAGTTTTAACAGTAGATGTGACAAGAAACACAAGGCTGAAGAATCATTCATTACAGTTGAAGCAGGAACCTCCAAACACAAAGTCCACTACGGGCTCACCATAGCCCGTGCTACTTGGAATTTTTGTTCCGAGTATCTGAATCTAAACAACAAAAAACACAACAGCCCCAAATACTCTTAACTAAGAACATTTTGTCAAGAAGTAACACACTGCACTTCTATTCTCCATGATAACTTCTGGTCCTCTCCCCCACCAGGACCTTCCATACAAGACCAAGTGCCACCTGCAGTATGCCTTGGGTATTTGGCTGGGACTCAACGACCAAGTCTATCTCTACGTGCGAGTAGATGAGGCGACCTACAGGGTGTCAGGTCTTCGGCCTTACACACACTACAACGTCAAAGTGTTGTCTGCTACGAGCACAGCGTACAGCACAGAACAACTAACAGATGTCAAGACTCTGCCACAAGGTGAGTGCGATTCAGTTCCATGGCATCTGTTCAAATTGGTTGTTAGCTCAGATCACACTGTTGGCATGTTACAAGGAGAGCAAGGAAGGAGGAAGCAAGCCTCATACTAGGGCTAAGTAGGTCACTAATATTGCCCTTATCCTAGTGATAATGTAGCCAGGCTGCTCTCATAACATCTGCTCTGAGGATTTGTTAACATAGACCATAGATCACGATGCTTCATGGATGGGTTAACACAACCCGCTCTTGGGACTAGGCACCAATTGTTAGGGGAAAAGCACACAAGAGTCGGCAGGAGGGTTGTAAACACCTTGTGATAACAACACCAGTTTATCCTGACAGCTCCGGGGAAGGTTACCAATCTCAAGGTCCAGGAAGCTGCCAGCTCTCTCACCGTGACCTGGGATGGTCCTCACGACACCCCGCCCAGAGGTCAACTGGAAGTGTTCACAGTCAGTTGGCAGCAACAAGGAACACATCAGTGGAACACCGACACCGTCGCTGCCAAAACAAAGAGTTATATCATTCAGAATCTAGCTGAGGACGTCATCTATATGATAAAGGTTAGCAGTTTGTTAGATTTATGTGTTGTGTTCAGTGTGTTGTGTTCAGTGTGTGGTACTCAGTGTGTGGTGTTCAGTGTGTGGTGCTTAGTGTTTGGTGTTCAGTGTGTGGTGCTTAGTGTTTGGTGTTCAATGTGATGTACTCAGTGTGTGGTGCTTAGTGTGTGGTGCTCAGTGTAGTGCTCAGTGTGTGAAGCTCACTGTGTGGTGCTTAGTGAGGTGCTCAGTGTGTGGTGTTCAGTGTGTGGTGCTTAGTGTTTGGTGTTCAATGTGATGTACTCAGTGTGTGGTGCTCTGTATGTGATGTTCAGTGTGTGGTACTCAGTGTGTGGTGTTCAGTGTGTTGATCTCAGTGTCTGGTGCTCAGCGTGTGGTGCTCAGTGTAGTGCTCAGTGTGTGAAGCTCACTGTGTGGTGCTTAGTGAGGTGCTCAGTGTGTGGTGCTCAGTGTGTGGTGCTTAGTGTGTGGTGCTTAGTGAGGTGCTCAGTGTGCGGTGCTCAGTGGGTGGTGCTCAGTGTGTGGTGCTCAGTGTGTGGTACTCAGTGTGTGGTGCTTAGTGTGTGGTGCTTAGTGTGTTGTACTCAGTGTGGTGTTCTGTGTGGTGCTCAGTGTGTGGTATTCAGTGTGTGTGGTGCTTAGTGTGTAGTGCTCGGAGTGTGGTGCTTAGTGTTCGGTGCTCACTGTGTGGTGCTCAGTGTGTGGTACACAGTGTGTGGTGCTCAGTGTGTGGTGCTCAGTGTGTGTGGTGCTTGTGGTGCTTAGTGTGTGGTGCTCAGTGTGGTGCTCAGTGTGTGGTGCTCAGTGTGTGTGGTGCTTAGTGTGTGGTGCTCAGTGTGTGGAGTAGAGTAAAGTGCGACTAGAACCGCGTGCACCACCTGTGCAGGTGAGCCCAATGGGTTCACCTGCACAGGTGGTGCACAGGTAGCTAGTCCTACGATGATCTGGGGGGATGCCCCGGGTGTTTTGGTGCGTGTCGGCGCGTGGCGTCCGGTCGCGCAGGACCTTTGACCGAGGGTCAGATGGGAAGGATGGGCTGTTGTAGTAGTGATGAATTTGGTGTTGGTATATGTAGTAATGATGAATTAAGTGTTGGTATCTGTAGTAATGATGAATTAAGTGTTGGTATCTGTAGTAATGATGAATTAAGTGTTGGTATCTGTAGTAGTGATGAATTTAGTGTTGGTATCTGTAGTAGTGATGAATTTGGTGTTGGTATATGTAGTAATGATGAATTAAGTGTTGGTATATGTAGTAATGATGAATTAAGTGTTGGTATCTGTAGTAATGATGAATTAAGTGTTGGTATCTGTAGTAGTGATGAATTTAGTGTTGGTATCTGTAGTAGTGATGGATTTGGTGTTGGTATCTGTAGTAGTGACTGATTTGGTGTTGGAATCTGTAGTAGTGACTGATTTGGTGTTGGAATCTGTAGTAGTGACTGATTTGGTGTTGGAATCTGTAGTAGTGACTGATTTGGTGTTGGAATCTGTAGTAGTATGAATGTTTTAATACTTTAGTAGTGTTATTAATGTATTAATACTACTACTAGTATTAATGTATTATACAACAACACAACAGGTGATGAATTTTATGTCGGGATCAGAATTAGTAATGAATGTGGTGTTGGTATCTGTAGTATCGATGAATTTGGTGTTAGAATCTGTAATAGTGATTAATATGGTATTAATATCTGTTGAAGTGATGAATTTGGTGATGGTATATGTGGTAGTGATGAATTTAGTGTTAGTATCTGCAACAGAAGTGTAGTCTTGTATAAAGTGGTGAATTTGGTATCTGTGGTAGTGCTGAATATGGCTGTACTGTTCGAATCTGTGAGATAAATGGTAGTGTTGTATTTGGTGGTGTTGTATGTAGTGGTGTTAGGATCTCTAGTAGCGTTGAATGGGGTGGTGTTATTGGTATCTATGGTAGTTATGAATGTGGTGGTTATGTTGGTATCTTTGGTAATGATGAATGGGGTGGTGTTGTTGGTATCTGTGGTAGTGATGTATGTGATTGAGGTGTTGGTATTTGTGGTAGTGTTCTATGTAGTGGTGTTGTTGGCAACTGTAGTAGTGTTGAATACGGTGGTGGTGTTGGTATCCGTGGTAGTGTTGTTGATATATTTTGAAGTGTTGTATGTGGTTGAGTTCGTATCTATGATAGTGTTTTATTTGGAGGCGTTGTTGGTATCTGTGGTAGTGTTGTATGTTGTGTTGTTTTGATTATCTGTGGTGGTGTTGTATGTGGTAGTGTTGTATGTGGTGGTGTTATTTATGGTGGGGCTGTATGTGGTGGTGTTGTATGTTGTGGTGTTGTATGTGGTGGTGTTGAGTGTTGTGGTGTTGTATGTGGTGGTGTTATTTATGGTGGGGCTGTATGTGGTGGTGTTGTATGTTGTGGTGTTGTATGTGGTGGTGTTGAGTGTTGTGGTGTTGTATGTGGTGGTGTTGAGTGTTGTGGTGTTGTATGTGGTGGTGCTGTAGGGACCTGTGGTGGTGTTGTAGGTATCTGTGGTTGTGTTGTATGTAGTGGTGTTGTATGTGGTGGTGTTGTGGGTATCTTGTGCTTGAGCTGTAGGTGATGGTGTTGTTAGTATTTGTGGTAAGGTTGTAGATAGTGGTGTTGTATATGGTGGTGTTACATGTGGTGGTGGTGTTGGAATCTGTTGTATTGTTGTATGTTGTAGTGTTGTATGTTGTGGTGTTGTTAGGATCTGTGTTAGTGTTGTATGGGGCGGTGCTGTGGTGTTGTTGGGATCTGTGTTAGTGTTGTATGGGGCGGTGCTGTGGTGTTGTTGGGATCTGTGTTAGTGTTGTATGGGATGGTGCTGTTGGTGGTTGAGGCTATGTGGTTGTATGCGGTCATGTAGGGAGAGTAAAGGCCGAGGAGGAGAAGAGGAGAGGAACAGTAGTAGGAGGTGAATATGTATGAGTATGCGCCGTAGAGTTAATCCTGTGTGTAGATAGATGGATGTGAGTATGTAGGTTATGTAGAGGAGGGAGGGGGTCCCAACCTGGCTGGGATATGTTGAGGAGGGAGGGGCCCCCCCTACCTGAAAGGGTAGGAGGCCAGAGTCTTAAGGTGGGTATGGGAGGGGAGAAGGAGGGGAAAAGGTAGATAGATGGGAGTATGCAGGTTATGTTGAAGAGGGTCTCCCTACCTGGCACGGATATGTTGAGGAGGGAGGGAGGGGTCGCCACTACCTGAGAGGGTAGGAGACCAGGCTCTTAAGATGTGTATGGGAGGCGAGAAGGAGGGGAAAGGGAGGGAGGCAACAGGTGGCTGCGGCTTCGTGTGACAGTGGAGTTATTATTTTTTCTTAAAGAACGACTATTTTATGTAAACAAAAGAACCGTTTAACTTTTTCTTCACCCAATCCAACTGTGTTGGTGGTGTTCAATGATGTTGATTAGTTAGCCGTCAGACCAGGTTGTGTTAGCGGTGGGGACATCTCCCCCTCCATCCCCCTCCCAGCTTCCAGAGCGCTAAGGATATGCGGGCCATACCTACCACATGGCTCTGAGGAGTGACACCACATGACCACATGGGGTTACCTCTTCGAAGGTTGAGGCCTAACTGTTGCGAATGTCATCATCAGCCTCTACCTTAGTCAGTCATCCCCCCCCCCTCCGCCCCCCCCCTCCATCCACATAGCATGACATACCACATACCAACACCACCACCACACTGCTGGGAGTGACAGCAATACGGTGTACCATACTCACTCCTGACACAGCTCACACCGGCACATAGCAGCGGGCAGACCACATAA